CTTCTAAATTCTTTTCTTGTGGTAGTTGTCGAGTCCGGAGTGTGGCAGGATCCATTCTGAATATCAATAATTGTTTTTTCATTGTTTGCTCACAATTTATTTCAAACAAATTTATTTATCGCCATATTTAAACTGCATGATTGCTCTTTTCTTGTCATTGTTGTAAACTGCTTGTCTGAGGAAGTCTGATTTTGGTCAGACGAAACGTTACAGAAATATATTTGTGTTAGTGTGCAGCAGGACTCTTGAATTGCATATTTTCAAATTATTGTTGGGAAATAACACAGAGGTAATGCACAATGATCTACTCATAGTAGCTTTTCCTTTAGCTCTATTATATAGCAATATCTGTAAGGTATTGTTACTTGTATTTCGTTGAGTAAACTATCATGGAAAGTTAAATATGATGAAGGATTCTTAACTGACCTAGAGATAAATTCATTGTTTCCCTGATTAGGCAATTTTGGTAAAAAGGGAAGGAACATCTAACTACCGGGGCATAATTAGGTTAACAATATTGTTTTTGTGGAAAAGGATTAAGCGTTTTAGCAGGGTTATTGGTGTTTTTTGACGTTTTTTCACTGTTTTTAAGCGTTTTAGCAGGGTTAATCTTAGAAATATTGTAATAATTGGGTTTTCTGTTATTGTATTTTATACATTTATGCTAGCTGTAGTCAGGTCGGGATTTAGATTTAGACCATGAGAGCCAGCCCTAGACTATGCCATTTGTGAAGTGACTTTTAAAATATGAAGTCATCAAAGTTCCTTACAATCCACTGTGATGTCATCATGAGCCAAACTTAGGCTGTGATAAAACCCTATTGCACTGGAAAACCGGTTTTTATTCATGAGAATTATATGTGTGCTAAGGGGAATGAGCCAATTGCGGATTTAAAACATTAACAAAATTATCATTGCATTTTTGAAATATTTGGATCTACAATAAATAAGCTTAGTATCATTATAATCATTTTTAGATAAATTAAATTATCTAAATGTATATCAAATCAAAAATTTTTTATAATTAAACAGTAGCATCATTGAGTTATAACTATTTCATTAATTTAAATTAGTACGATATAACATATATTGTCTTCAAAATTGAAGGAGTACAACTTTGATTTGATGAATTTTTGTTCAAATTTATTTGCAGAGGTTTGGCTTGAGGCCTGGTTTTAGCCTGCCTTGAATAATGGTAAATCTGGCGGTTGCTGTAATATTCTGTTACTCACTGAGAATAAGAGTTATGCAAACATTAAAGGCCTCAATCTTTCAAACCTCAGTTTAAGATATTAAGACCTTGTATGAGTAATATTGAAATGAAGCTTTATGGAATTTTAATGAAAAAAACTGTAGGTTTTTAATTCATTAACTTCTCTCTGAGCAAGGCTCTTCCCAAGCAGTCAATGTGATAACAAAATACTGTACCGAAAGAATATTCTTAATCAAGTTTTGCAAGTTTATTTAAAAATATTTTAAACAAAGCTTTCTGGAGTTAATGGGTTAACTGAATTAATTGATATATTTAACAATTAACAATTTAATATATTTAACAGTTAACACAATTAATATATTTGACAGTTAGTTACAATAAAGACAATATCTTGCACAACCAATGATTGAATTACCAAATTCTGAATACAATTTAGATTTAAAATTTTTTTTTTTGACATTCCTGTATTTGTCCTATATATTTTCTACTCTTGTCATTTAACATTACAATAAGTGCAAAAGTAATTATTATAGTAATTGACTATTTGAGCAAATTTTTATTTATATTAATTTTTTATTAAATTTTTAATCAAATTACTGTATAAATTATATCTTAAATTATATCAGACTACCGAATTTATTACACCCTCATTTATTTACGAGGACATAGGATTTAAACTTGAAATCTTTGGACTGTGGCACAAACATACTTGATATATTTTGAACATAACTTGGTGAAGACTTAATGACTACGTATTACATGAAAACTCAATGCAGTTTTATATATCAAAGTCTTCAAGATGTGTTTTCATGTCTTTAGTTTGAACAAGGCTCCAAGCAAATGTCAACTGCAATTTAGTGAGATACTACTTTATTTTGGAATGATCTAAATATTTATGGTTCAGCTTTGGCTAAAACATTTGTCACACACTAAGTGGTTGAAAGCAACAGGGTTTCAAACCGAAATCATTCAAATGGTCAAAACACTAATTTGAGTTAATGACCTTCTTGACCTTATCAGTAGTAATTTCTTCATATTGTGCTTTCTTACCTCTACTTTGAACAAAGCTTTACGCAAGTGGCAACTTATATATGTTGAAATGATACTATATAACACGAATGAAGTTATGATTGAATTATGTATTTCTGCAGAAGTCTGACCTTGGTCCAATGAAACATAACAGAAATATATTTGTGTGTTACAAAACTTTTGAATCCCTAATTATTCAAATGTGTATAAAGATAAACATACACATAACCCTGGAATTTATTCAATAGCGTTTCACTATGAACGTCTCATTATTTTTAATTCTTTAGAAGCCAATGCCGTCAAAGCCCGTCATGAATTGCACTTTTGGCACACTGTTTTAATTTCCCGTACTCCTCACCCCTTAAAAAGCCTGGCTGCGCCCCCTGAGCCTAATCGAGTGTTGAGGGTTCAAAACTACAAAAGAAAAACGTTGCGCATGATGAAAATGCTCAATCAATTGACATGGCTTGCAGCATTTCAATTTCATCCAATGGTGATTTTTTTATATCGGGGTCGAGTTGAAAAAATATTCTGAAATTTAAACCATAGTAGGTGCTTGCAATTCCTCTCAATAGTGATTTTATATCTATGTATATTGTTTTATATATACAATAACGTAGAATCTCCCAGATTTTAGAACTTAAAAATTGAGCAAACGCAACAGATTAAAAAAGTTTTGATTTTTGAAATTTATACCTACAAGTTTGAGTGGATTTGGTTTACTGAAAATCTGTGTGAAAATATCTATATTTTTATAGCTTTAATCTAGTCTGGTGTTATGGGACTTGACTCAAGTCGAGTTCAAAATTAATTCTAGTTTTTAATCGATAAGCAATTTTTGGATGAAGTACTTATTGTCACTCAAATCTTATAGTGATAATTTATAGTGAGCTTATAGTGATAATAACTTGAAATAGGCACTGTTGATATCAAAGTAAATATATATTGAAATATGTTGTTCAAGAAAGTTCAATTTACATTTTATCTTTATGATGTCATAATTGCTCAAGTGTCCATTGTTGTGAAGTCAGAAAGTCTGAGTATTTCGGTTAAGTTTGTGTAGTTTGTTTTGTTTTTAAATTCAATAGATAGGTATATGAAATATTACTTGCATATTTGACATCAAAATTTAGGAGTATCCGGGAAAAACTTTTTTTCAGTTAAAAACGTTCGTAATTCTATTTTTGATTCACAAATGAACCAATCCTAAATTTCCTCACAGATCAAGGAGTTGTGGCTGCATGGCAACACAAACATCTGTGTTTTAATAATAGATTTCAGGCCAACTTATTTGTATGAAAATTTGTTTGAAATATTTAATGATAAACTTGGATCCAAGAACAATTTGTTTATTTATTTCGGTTAAACTTCCAAGCTCAGTAAATTTTGCTTGAAATTATGAAAACAAATAAGCAAAGTATTCTTTTTTTCTTGAGCATTCATTAAACATATTTTTCAACAAAATTTTTTATTTGACACTTATTCACACCTTTCACTCTGAGCAAGGTACGGATAAGCATCCACTGATATCTGTTAGGGTTACTGTTTTTTAAAGACATGAAATTTTTTTTCTCCGGCTTTATCCACTCAATTTACTACACATTGTGCTGAGTGGTTGCCATGGGATTTGAATCCGAGGTGTGTAACTTGTGATGCAAACATATTCAAGTCTAATGCTTTAACTGCTATGTCATCACACTCATGTATGCAAACCTAAGATTCTCGTGTTGTCCTATCATCCTAAAATGTTGCTTTTTGGTAAAAGTGTTCATGAGTAAAAACAAGAAAATCAAATTGCAATTTTGGAGCAGATTTCGAAAAAGAAATAATGAAAAATTATAACAAATCCAAAATTCAATTTATTTCAGACAATACAAATTTTATATCTTCACGACCGCATTTAATTTAATATAGAATTTTTTATCTGTGTGCACTCGTGGGATGGCATATTGCAATTTTTCACTCATGATAGCATTACAAATGCTGGTGCACCCAGAGTTTGAAACCGACATTTGAAATTCTTGGTAGGACTGAAAAGTCACTATTGTATATTCTCGCATAATATACAGATTTCACAGGGCTAATTTTGTTAAATTGCCAATTGTTTCGTTATAGTTTCATGGTTATTCAAACACCGATATTATGTTGGTAAACTGTATTTTTACCAATTTTCTTCATCTCACATGTATTCAAGTGCGTTCAGGCTCCTAATATAATTAAAAGAGGTAATCTGCAACTCGAATTTTTGATTGAAAATATCGGAGTATTAAGACCAACGGCTATTCTAGGCATTGTGCTTTGATCAAATAGCATTGCTCCAATTTCACTGTGATGAATGATGAATATAATTCCAGCTTGATTATTACCTAATTTACCCAAAGATCAAACAATCTCTCATCTGGTCATCACTCATTGTGTGAGCATTTCAATGTTTCGTTCATTAGTCTCGTTTTTGAGATTCTTTTTTTTGCTTAAATTTAAGGTTTACAAATTTTTCAAGATAGAATAAAGGTATGGTCTTTATCTAAGTAAATTGCCTCCATTCAATTTCTATAAACAAAAATTATTTTGAAAATTCACCTTTAATTTTTTGAACAGAATTTGAACTCCCAACAGATTTTGAACTCCCTGACAACACGCTCTATTTTAATATTACATGAATATTGATCAATATTAGGTAAATATAAATAATGTATGTATGTATTTTATTCAAGCTCGATTCTCTCTGTCAGATGATTCTATCTGTTTATTTCAACAGATTGAAGGTTTGAATCTGAGTGAAGAGCGTTTTGCAAACCATGAAGATATTGTTGCAGTTGCAAATCTGCTTCCTAATGTTACAGAGCGGTTGTGGTTGTATGGATGGAACATTGCGGATGAAGATGAAAAAATATTACAGAATCAATTGGATGAAATTGGATCTGAGGTTTGAAAACAAAATATAGAACATAGGTCAAATAAAATAATATAACAAACAAAGATTAAATTGTTAAGGTAATAACAAAATATTATCATGGTCAATTTGATTGTGTTGCGCATCATGTTTAATATTCACTTATTACAATAAGGGGCGCTTCGGAAGTACTTGTACCAAGATGACGCACAACCTGAACAACCCTGACCTGGTACACATAATATTTTCAGGTTGTGCTGAATCTTGGTACGAATACTTCAGGAGCACCCAATAAGGTTTATTTATTTTCCAATAAATAGAACAATATAAAGAAATGTGAATTTTTAATCCCCAAATTGTATAATTTATTTTTAATTACAAAAATTTTAGCATATCAAATTAAGTTATCACCAAGATTTATTCGTGTTTCTGTTTCGCCAAGCAAAGATCCAAAATTATAGAGTGAATTGGATTTGCTAGTATTTCACAATAATTATTTTCTGAAATGCGATCAATCAAGTGTGGACTGTCAGTTTAGTGAGTTGTCAAAGATGGCATTATGTACGCAAGTTTGGAAAGTTTTTCAATTAATTGAAAACTTCTCAGATTAGATTCAGTATTATTTAGCAAGTATTTGTGGTTTCAATGGTAACGTCTCATTGACTACTAACATGGTAATTAATAGATACCATTCCGGCTGCCATTTATTATCATGACCATATTGTGATAAATACATATATAACAGTTTATTCATTACAGCTAGAGATTCTGCTTCAGATTGGAGAAAAAACACTCAAAAGTCAAAGAAAACCTGCAGATAAAGCAACTAATGTAACTCTCAAACAAAATACAACTTTGTCTTCAGAATCAGAATTTGGTAAATCGTAGATATTTTTCAAATAGAATTATACAATGATAAATGAGTAACAATCAATGTTGCATCAGTTCTGTCTGATTCCTTATATAATTCTTATTTATTATTTTTATTTTCATTTTCAATCTCAAAAATGACTGGAATTTATAGTTTATAAAAATGGCTGTTTAGCTGCTGGAGTTGGCACATCTTGCAGCACATTGAACCATAAGATATTTTTTTAACAGTTTTTGTATTTAAACTGTATTGTAGTGAATTAAAATAACTATTTATTCAAAAAATGATTTTTACTTTGCTGGGATATCAGAAATTGTACTAAATCTAGAGTATCTAAAAATATTTGCTTGAAAAATATTGAAGTATGTAAATATAGTTGTTTCCAGGCTATTCATTTACTATTTGTTTGACAATATTAAATAACTTAAAACAGTTATTAAGGTTCTAAATAATTGCTTTTTAGTAGTTATATATTTTCGTTTCTAAGGGGCCACATCACAAATTAGCAATTCAGAGAGTACTGAAGAAAATATGAAGATTTCAAAAGAAGCTGAAAGCCCAAGGTTAGATAAAACAGTAGTGTGACTTTCAAACATGACTTACATTTGTAATTTATAAGTGGGCAAGGCATAATGGCCTACTGATTGAAGCATTAGGGGATTTAATCCCGTGCCCACTACCTGCATGTGCGTAATGTATTGGGCAGTAGCAATGTTGAATCAGAAAGATTATTTTCCATGATTAGCGGTGGCCTGCCTTGACATGGCTGTGTAGTGTGTGAACTGATGTACGGTATTTGTATTGCCTAGAGATATTTCTGCACAACGATGATTTGGCTCAGACATTTAAGCCTGCGTGACTGCAAGTGCGAAATGCATTTATCAACAATGCAACAACCTCATTGAATATTTTGTTATTTTAACATTTGTCTGAATATTTGTATTTAATTAAAGCAGCTGGAGTCAAACTTAAAATTTCATCACAAACAAAACAACTGTGATCTCTGATTTTGTAAATTTAATATAAGACCTATATGCATCAAGCACCAGATAATTCCCTATAATTTTTAATCTATACATTCGTTTTGTATGTCTCTCTTTTCGTCCCCCAAACGTTTCATTCAAAATCCATTTTTGCATAAGATCATGTTGTTTTTTTTGGTTGGAAATTTCAATTTCGCCTCGAATTCCATTAAATACAATAGGAAAATACTCCATCCGAATAATGAATTAACGAAATTTTTTATCTCCGTGTTTGAGTTTTTATCGCTTTGTAAACTGTTATTAAACTTATATCGGCACTCGGATCTGTGTGGGCCAAAACGTCTGGTTCGAAATGTACTTGACCATGACAATAGTAAATAAAACACTATACTCCACCTTGCTAATCACACAAAATCAATTTTATTTTATTTGACGCATGTGATAGCGTATTGACAAAATGCTGTAAAAATAGTTCTACTCTACTGACTGAACAGAGCAATTCGCGATGATCAGCTTCTCATGGACTTTTATAATAAGTCCCATTTGGCTCGTATCCCTTTCGAAAACGTATGCCCAAACGTTTATTTCAGTGTTTTGTCTGCAGATATGATTTATTTAAATCTTGTATGAAATATTAATTATCCAATCCAAATGCCCCAATAAACAAATTTATTTTGGTCACTTTCTAGTAGAGATTCTGTGTTGGTTCCTATTGTCCATTGGTATTCAATATTCTCCATAATTTCAGTCTTAGTTTTTGCTCTGTATATAATTGTCAAAAGCTTCAACGAAATTATACCAGCAAAGCATAATTATTTGAATTTGATTTAATAAGAAAATTTATTGAAATTAATAAATAGCAAAACCAACTTTATATAAATATAATGATGACAAAAAAAGAAAGAATAATTTCACACTGTTATTTTGTTTTAGAAGTGAACTCCTGATGACTGGAAAAGAAGCAGAACAATCAGATAAAGAGGTAACTGAGCAAGCTGCAAAATTAACCCAGCCTGGTAAGTCAGTCGTATTGTTATAATCGGGCAGCATTATAGGTCCTCTCGTAGTATGTGTACCACGTTAAAGTTGGGCCATAATTTTATTTCGATTTCCCTTATTTTAGTTCTATTATGAGTTCAGGGACTGTCTGTGTTAGGCAAGTGCATACATGCCCCTTACATAACTTGTGCAAAATTGGTGAACAAAATTAGTTACCTCCATTTTGTTACACATCCTTCTGGAGCGCTGTATTATGACCAACATCAGCTTCAAATTCGCAGTTTTAGTTAAAAAATCTTGTAATTATAATGAAGTACTAAACCACCATCGGTTTCTAAGAATAAAAAGAAATTCTGTTGATTGAAATGCAAACTTTTACACAAATTCAGGTTTTTTCTATGCCAAATCCTGTTCTGGCATAATATCTTTCAATTTCCAATATCGGGCACTGTATAGCAATTTAAATTTCACACTTCAATCACTCAATTTCACTCAACAATCATACTCATGTTCATTGGAAACTAAACAATTACTTGGTATGAAGAATTGAAATATTCAACGAATAACTTTGACCAAGTCACACAAAATTTTGGTGGGTCTAGACTGCAACTATGTATCGTTTATATACTTTTGCTGTTTGCAAATAATGCAAGCAATAAGACAAATTGCATGTTTTTTTCTCTAATCATGTTTTTCTCTCTGCCTGTAAAAAGTACAAGCGGCCAGTATGTTACACTAGTCAATGAATCTTCCATAGTTTAATAACAAATAATTAATCTGGTGAAACATACCGTTTTCAAGTCTTGGCAAAGGATGGTTGGGGTAACATTGGAGTCAGAAAATGTCATGAATGGTATATTTCCAGGTTTATTTAGATTTAATTTTTTGTCGCGGACTTCTGTGAATAACACACATATACATAAGAGCAATCACTGGCAGTCAGAATCATATTGTAGCGGTGGGAGATTGCCCAACCTTTTGTAATTGTAATAATTTACACCAGTTTTTGTCATGGATTAAAATGATCAACTACAACATGACATTGAAATATAAGCAAAGCCACTAATTACTGTATGTGCTGTATTTCTTACATATTGACGTTTGGGATTTTCAGCAATTGCTCAATAGAAACGGTCATACGCTCCTTGAAGGTTGATCTCTGGTTTGATGAATAGAATTTCATGATGTGATTTGCTTATTTTCTTTAAACAACAAAACAGCTACCATATTTCCTGCTTAATAAGTCTATCTAGCAAATGAGACGATGATTTTTAACACCCAAAAAGAGGGTGTTTACATATAGCCCTGCAATAAGAAGGGTAGCAAAATTGCTTCTCTGTTGGTCATTTTAGCATTAAAATGCATGGTACGCTCAGGTCATATTTGTATTCTTAACAATAAAGTGGCAATTTTAGCATTAAAAAGGCATTGGTGGTCATTTTGAACAGTCGGCCAGCTATATCCAACATTAGGGTGATCCAAGGGTTCAACTTTGGGGCTATAGTCAAACAGTTTAAAACTTGATTTGAATAAGTCCATCACGCCGACACGATAACAACTTAGCTAGAACCAAAGTGACTATAAACCAAGTGAGGACATGCATTGATAACGTTATGAGCGCTCGTGTGACGTCACACTAGCCATTTTGTGTCCAGAGTTCTATCGCTGTATGATCCTAACTAAGTGATTTAAATGAACATTCTTCTGAAAAATTAATTATTCGCAGATGTTTCTTCTCGGATAACTCGGCTCGGCGGTATGGACAGCATATACGAAGTTAAGGTTAAAGTCATCCAACTTCACTCGATAAATCAACAACCCAATAAGACCAAAATATTAAACAAAAAGATACACATTTTATTATAAAATTATTATAAAATTCCTGATGTAAGTATCGCTACTTGCACAGAACCTATTTTAACAAACTGACAGAACTACAATACAAATTATATTACAGAAACTTGTACTATTTTTGCGGTACATGTCATGATATTAAAATATGCATATCGCAAATTTGCAACAATGTGTACATTTCCAAAATAATATTAAAAGAATATACTACATGCATGGAATGGGGAATAACAGCGTATATCCAGTTTACAAGAACATCTAATAATCTGGAGTGTAGAAAATAATATATTATCTATTTGACTTGAGCTCTTGCCGCAGGTCTACTAGCATACAATTTTTCAATAATTTTATTTGTCTCCTCTTTTGCGTGAATATTTAACCTTAAATTGAGAAAGCGTTTCAAAATTTTAAAAGCGATATTGTGGCAAGATGGGAAATTATATTTCAAGCAACTTTATCTGTCAGAAAAGTAACAGGCGAACATATATTATAAAAGGCATTAATATTAAAATACGATTGCTTCTTTGGATGGGTGGCATAAATTTTGGGTAAAACTATCAATTTCCAAATATTTATCAGGTGTGTAAGACCTAAAAAGAGTTAGTAACATGTTGGATCAGAACCATTATATAATGGCTCTGGTTGGATATCGATAAAATTACAATTAAGTTTTGTCAACGAGAACGTAGAAGACATGATGGCGTCGCTAGATCACTTAGTAAATATTTTACATTTTCCGACGCAAAAGAATCCTAAAATCCTGCCAATAATATGATAAGAGATAACTAAGAGATAACTATCGCAACTTCCACGAAACCGCACGATATCAGTATGATTCTACGAGGCAAATAGCAAAAGAAAAATAATGAAATTACCCGAATAAAATGCAAAACAGTAAAAAATCTTCAGCCAAATTGACGAACGAGACCTTCTGATGAAGCTAAAACAAACCGGCGCTGCCGCGTTCCCCCGATTCGCTGGACACAAAATGACGACCGATATGCACCATTGCACTCGGTCTCTCCACTTGGTCTATAGTCACTTTGGCTAGAACTATATAATTAGTTAAAGATATAATGACTATAACTTCAAAAAACTGGGCCACACCTTCTCACATAACATTCCAACAATTCTGGATTTTCTCAACAATCCAAACATACGACAGTGTGACACATGGTTTTAATTGTTAGAAATATGCTTGCCATTGCACCCTTGCTAACCCTCTGAGAATTTGCTGGTTAGAATCTTGTCGGGGATAATTATTTTTGATAGGAGACATTGTCGTAGTGTGGTTCAATTAACCACTGGCTGGGTACATCTTCCTCCATCATCAAGTCCATGCATTTGATAACAAATAACTACCGGTAACTCATGGTTCGGAAGTCCCATACTGGATTGGTAGCCGGACGAGAGGCTGTGGTACGCCATATGCTTGCGCTGTCTAATCAAATTTCTTCTCCTTTGGGATAATTATGTAAATACCATCCTACTTATGCAGCTTACTTTCTCATTGTTTCCATATTCATTAAAAACAAAGATCGTAATCGTGATCGTAATCTTACGTTAAAAGCTACAAAACTTGGAAAGACCATAATCATCTTGGCTTGACACAGTTTGCACATTTTCTTACTCCCGCAAGCGTTTTCTTTTGTATTGATTATGACTATGATAGAGATTTTTAGCATGTGGCAAAAACGTCATTGGAGCTATAAGTTCTTCAAGATAGGCTATGCTTTTAATGAAATTTGTATGATTTAAATTATCTACATAAAAGAGGATATCATGCCTCTGCACAAATAAGAGAATGTATTCAAATTTAGACGGTATTAAATTTTGGGAGTGAGGTGGATTGAAGCCTCTATTCATATTTTAGGCTAATAGCTAGCAAATATTAGAGTTCTTTGAATTATTTATTTAAACAAATAGTCAAACTACCTACTATAACGTTAATATAAATTCAAAATATTTAATTGGTTGTGAACATTACGTAGTAATCAAACTCTGAAAAAATATTTATTTTGACCACCATTTCTTTTTGTGCCATTTTGATTACCTTTTTAATATTGAAGTTCTCTCATTTCTGAAATGCTATTCATATAAACAGCATTTGCAGCATAATTAAGTCATTACTTCAGTGATTTCTATGTATAGAGATTTGTATAGTCTATTTGAATAGGTAATTGAAGTGTATAATTATGAAAGAGATTTTAGGCCGGAAAACAAGTGTTAGTGGCCTAACATGGAATATAAAATATACCAGTAATGATTTTGATTTAGAACTGAAATAATTTATTATAAATTTAATAAAATCTGTACAATAATAAGAAGAATATAGAACTTCAATCTATCCTTAATATAAATTGATTTTGCTATGCAAAGTGATAATTAAATTTTTTATTTTAAAGGCGGAACTTCATCTAGAACTACTGATGGGAAGAGGAGAAGAACTTCAGATGAAGATTCTGGTCCAAGGTCAGATAAAATAATTACATAACCAAAAAATAATGATCTTGAAAATATTTGTTACATATGATTACTGTATCCTTACCACTAATACCTGTTCTTTGTCTGACTGAATTTGTCCAGGGAACAAGTTTCACTTCAACAGATCATAGATATGTTCATAGCCTTGTTCCTACCAACGTCTAAGTCTAAATGTACATTCGTCATTGTTAACATACAATATCCCTATAAAATCTTATTGTTGGGAGATTTTGACCAGAAAATCCAAAAGCAGCTACACAAATTACATCGTGAAAAACATTTTGCTCATAATTTTTACGTCACCCTAATTGAAATGATAATTAGGATTGAATTTTCATCACATACAAAGACTAGGATCTGAGATTCTTAGTCTGAACCTCATTATGGCAGTAAAAGTATCTTGTTCTTAGGCACTGCTCGGTTAATCTACTCATAAACTCCTAGTGGATTTCCATATCTTAGCATGATAGACAAATCCGACTTTTCAACCAATATTTTGGGCTTTGAAATCCCGTTATCTAATTTTGAGTGATTTTAAGTGATAAACGTGACAATCTTTGTCAACTAAATGAAATCCAGCCAAGAAAATTTACTTTGTTTTCTTATGTACATAAACTTTGTTTTTAGAAGCAAAATCGCCTCATCTGACGTAGAAGAAATTCAACAAGAAGATAAACTGTCTCGATATTGTAAGTCTGCCACATGTCCATAAACTTAAATATTATGAGCAATATGGTTCATGTATTATGTGTGTGATTGCGTTTAATTAAGTATAACAGGGTGGTCCAAACCCTGTTGTGACACATTTCGTGCGTCCCCAGTACAATTTCAGTGATTAAAACATCAGCAGATGTTTGTATGTAGGTCAGCGAACACGTACTACTTCTTTTATCAATACATTCCCACCTAAAATCTGTACGCTTCAAACCTTATTTGAGGTTTTGTTTGCTTTTCCGATTCTATAATCAGTTTTATACATTTTGTTTATATCAATTGTTTTATCGTCTATTGCTGATTATGGAGTCGAAATAAACTTAGGTACACTTATTGGAAGAACTTTTTTTAGCTTTAAGCTATTCCATCTGGGATTGGGATCCCAAGATTTGAACCCTTTTCATAATCCCAATGTTGGTAATGATATTTGAATCTATAAACATCAAGCCGGTGTCGATATGGACATTCTGTGATGGGTACTATCACATGTCGAGAGGCCATTACTGATACGGGATGGGGGAGTCAAGAGAAATGAATTGTCTTGTGCAGACTTGTCTTGGTTGTTCTAATTTTGAAAGAACCAAAGGAAAACTAAACGCTTCATATATCTTGCTTCAAATAAAAAAAACACCACCCATGCAACATAACAGAGAGCTAATTAGAACAGTAAATTATCACTCTTTAATATATTTGACGTAAGTAAACTCTTGGTGTTTCCATCAATTCTGGATTTTTCTCGACTGCGACCTACGAGGCCTCGTATAAATTTTTTGCGTCTTTAAACTTTGCATGTTTGGACCACTCTGAAGTACAAAATCGAAAGTAGTTGGGCATTTTGCGAGAACATAAATGTAAATAAAGTTAATTTTTTAAACATGTAAAACTTGACATAAATTTCGATTTTAGAGTGTAATTTATGTAATATGAAACTAATGATTTATGGGAAATTAAGGAATCTAGAACAGAATTATTGCAATAGCAGGTTATATATATATTTATGCTTCATAAAAATGCTTTTGTGAAGCATATGGTTCGAATTCATGTTTTGGTAAATGCTCAAAATTTTAGAACAACCTTTGCTATGTAAACTTCACTTCCAGACTAATGCAGAAATCAGATAAAATACATTTGTATTCATTAATATTGATTGAATATTTTACAATTAAAATTCTTCGCTAATGAGTTTGACTGTAGTTACCGCAGTGACTGTACTTTTTGAGAAGAAAATTTGATTTTATTATATAAAATCAGAGCAGACATTGGTTTTAAATAATATGCTCACAGAAGAGCAGGCGTAATGTCACAATTACCTAAACTTTCATGAAAATCAAAATTATTGTCAGCGAATTCCTATCGAATGTCTCATTCATGTAACTTGATCCCTATATTTACTAACTCACTATTTTATTTTTAGATTTGTCACAAATTGAAAATGTTTCCTCTCAAAGAAGCGGATCCGACATTCTACTGACTTGGAATGAAGTACCTGACAGCAACGTTCTATACAACGTAGAAATCCTCTGTGATGATGTGAAACTTGGAGAGACTCACACTACAGAGGTTTCTCAGTATAGAATGAAGTCACCTATACTTGGTAAAAGATATCGTTTCCAAGTCTGGGCCAAGGATGAATGGGGTAACTCCTGCATCAAAACACAGTCCAAGAATGTTATAAAAGGTAAATTTCCAGTATTATGTAAATTTAAAATGTAAGTTACAACCATTAGTCATTAATGGAAATGGTAACCTTATAATTTAACTTGTATATTGTCTCAATAAATAGCCGGTGAGTTTATTTTTGCAGTGGTGGCCACCATCAATATTAGAAAATGGCATTTTCATTTTAAAAACTGATGGGTGCAATTTGCGTCCAACAGCGTTTTTCCTATAATATATCAATTGGTCATCTGTGGGCTATGGTAGCATTGTCGGGGAGACTCGAGCAACTCACTGATTCGAACTCGACTAACAGCCATAAAAACTTTACTTTTGAATCATAAATAATGAGATTAAAATCTCTGGAATAGCAATTGGTATGCATGCCAATGTTGCGTTAGAAATGGTAAATTTACGGTACAAATTTACTAGCTTTTTGTAGTAACAATTCAAAGTAAGCCTTTTCATGATTACATTAGTGTTGTAAATACATCATTAAATCCTAGTTCAACTTTCAAAATAACTTTGACTTGACAAAAATAGAAGAATCATTGTATTACACAGTTCACCTATTTTGCGGTATTTTATGAAAGCTCCTGTGACACAACTCAGCTTGTGATTCGAAACTTCAGCAACTTGACTAGTGACAGAGTTTTGGCTTGAAACTCAAACTTTGAAACTTAGCAGAACTCTGACTTGAATCAGGAATTTGATGTCCCAGGACTTTACTTTGCTCATGACTCAAGTTTCCGAAGTGACAAAGAGTACGGCAACCCACATAATTTATTATTTACAGCATGATTACTGGTGGTCCGCGTTCCGATCATTGACCTTTTGAGTATTCATTTAGGCCCAATTAACTTTGGATATGTGAAGATTTCCTTCTATAAAATACCTTTAGTTAGTTTTTTCCCATTATTTGCACCCAACTTAATACGAAAACAACTGTGACATCCTGAGACACCAAAGAATAGCATTATCTTGAATAGCAAATAATCATGAATCGAGAACTACAATGCGCATGGAAGGATTACAAATATTTTGCGATTACTTCAATTTTTTCAATTTTAAAATTGGAGGCACTGGAATATATTTGGGTACACTGTAAAATGTCTTTTGGAAATATCGGGTCCCAGTAACTTCAAATTTTGACATACGGGTCTTTGGTTGAGTAGTCCTGATTTAGAGGACTATTTTCTTTTCTATTCTTTAATGAGACCTGTGGTCAAATAAGCAATCTAATTTTAATATGTCAGGTCAATTTCATATTCTTAGCATGGATAACTTATTTCATCGGATATGAAATTTGGAACGGGAAAAAGTCAAAACTTTTATCTCAGCACAAGTGATACTGATTTTTTGAGTGTAATCATGATATGCATAAAAAATGTTTCCTGGGACAGCCGGTGTTAACAAAAACTTTCGAAATGTTTGGGGGATAGTGAGAAATATAAGTCTGCTTATATTTGTGGTCTATGTGCCCACTTCCTAAGTTTTTGTGTTTATTTCAGTAATTAACATCACCTTTTTCAGACTTTTTTTTACCTATACTCTCAAAATCTAACATCATCTAATCTAAACATTTAAGTTGAATAGGTGTCTTGGCCTAGTTTGAGAAGCACCGAATTAGTAAACATTTGTTGCAACAAATCTACTTTTTTTTAGTGGAAAACGTTGAAGTTGCCGGTGGCTCTATGAGGCTGAACGAATGCAAAGTCACGTTTCCTCGTGGAACATTCAACAAACAAACGAAAGTCTGGATGTCGGTTGAAATAGACAATTCAATATGCCCTGAAGAATACATTGGTATCACACCAGCTTTTAATATCAGTGCAGATTCTGAATTCCTCAGAGATGCGATAGTGCAAATCCAGTCGTGGTGTGTTGGTCTAGAAAAAGACAAAATTGACATACTACATTTTTCAAGTAAAACTGACTGGGACATTATAAATCCCGACCGAATCACAGAGAATAACAGCATAGAATTTCGATGCAGGAGGTTCAGTCGAGTTATGGCCATCATCAGGTGGTTGCTATTTGGAACAGTTGAGCTTCTTATGGAACATCGTCTCTATATCCTAAACAATAACCAATTTCATTTTGCATTTTTTTCATCTTCTGAGACTGTTCAGAACCTTGTTAGACATTATTATAAAGACCTAGGGGCACAACTTGCTCCTATTCATCTCCCCCAAATCCTGTTACAAACTGGAGACAATATACGCATAAAACTCCAAATTGACCGTGGACCAGAAAATTTACATTTCGACTTTCCTGATGGCCATACCTTCCTGGCAAACAAAAAATTCATGACAAAGCAAAGAAATGAATACATGTTCCGTCTTCTCCCCCCTCTGGACGAATATCCTCAACGTAATATCAGATATGAGATGGTTAAGGAAGGTGATGAACCCGAATTTTGCAATCGTGATTTTAATTTTCCATTAAAACCAAAAGGTGAGTAATTCATGACACTAGTGGATAATTCACACATATATCTATATCTCAGAGGCACAGCAGGTAGCCATATCATGTTGTTCACTCTTCATTGTTTCATACGAGAGCTAGTTATGAATAATTACTGAAAGGGAAACGAATGCAATATCATCCTCGCTAGCACCCTCGTATTATGTAAAGTTAATGTTTATTATCTGAATTTTCTATTTAATATTTCTGCATATTGAAGTCTTAAGGAACGTCACACATTAGCTGCATATTATCTTGAGCACTTGCTTACCAATAACATATACATCTGTAAGTAGCATTAGCGAGATACATCACACTTTCAGTAGACATTATATAGACATTTTTATATATCTTTAGTTTGATTCTAAATGAATATCTCGTACATTATACATCTTATTTATATTTATAGAACGCAGAGGACCTCCACCTATCCATCTTGTTGATCGCAGAGTAATTACACCTATCAACCTTGCTGGAGCAAATGTTGGGAATGTGCATCTACCGGACAGAGGAAATCAGAACAATCAGCAAATAGTAAGATTTGATTAATATTTATTCTCAACTTTCTATAATTATTTTTTAAAGTATTCACTATGTACCTTACAAGAAGTAATAGACAGTTGTAGGTTCGGTGGTGTGGTGTATTGTGCTAAGTGTTATGAATACACTCGCCACCACACCCCTGATTACTCTGTGTGGGTTTGCAGGTGCGTTTCCTGTGGGTGAAAATTATGTGCGAGAGGATTGATAGAATCTTTTGCGTTGTAGGGTGGTTCACGTAAACGCTGGTTGGGTATAGCTTCCTCCACCATCAAGTCCATGCACTCAGAATAATTGGCTAACCGGATGAGAAGCCGTGGTTCACTATATGATAATGCTGTCTTATCGTCTTACCTGTCTTCCGAGATAAATATGTAAATCTTGTCCTATTTCATGTTAATACTGAGCCCCAAAATGTGATGTTACAATGCATATTGAAACTTTGCTTTAGCAGGAAATTATTATCCCAATAGAAATATCATATGGGATTTTCTACCACTATCCCACATAGAATATTTAAACCCTAAAATTGAATAATATTAGTCTGCATTTTGACAAGAGGTAATAAAGGTAAAAATGTGCCAGATAGTAAAAATGAAATTCTCTTAAAGGGGCAAAATGAACAAGAAGAAGTTGGTGCAGTAGGTGGCAACCAAGCAATAGAACCACAACAGAATGAACCATTACAACAACATGAAGGTGATGACGGTACGTGAAATACCAATAATTAAAGCATTTGTTCGGCTTCGCAAACTTGATTTCTTGCATTTTATATTCCTAATAAGTCTTTTATATTCCAAAATATTTCTTGGAGGCATATTAGACAAAACAATAACTCATTTACGTTTTCTGAATTTCTATTTTCGTTGTACGTGGTCTTTACATATTTGTGGACGATCAATTACCCCTGAAATATTAATATGTTTGCAGGAATTTAACCTGGTCTTTCTGCAAGTTTATTTTTAACAAACGATATTCACGATTTGTGATTGTTTTTTGTTTGATGCCTTATTCAAATATCACATAAAAAATTGGTATGATATCCTCCACTGAGGACAGCTTTCAGGGTCATCTTAATAAACTATTATTTTTCAGATTCCGATGATCTTGGCTGAAAACTACCTCAAAAGATTAAACATTTCCCAGACTGAACACATTCTAAAGACATTGCTAAGATACGAATGTTTCATCAACATGTCGCATACTGTTACTGTCGTATATTCAACATTAAATTTCTCCAATAATCTCAGACTGAATGCCGAATGAGCCTGCGGTTCATACCTTAATGCTGCAACGTGTTATGCACATGTGGTAAAGGGATTGAATATTAACTCTTAAAGACTGTTCCCTGGATAGTCAATTGTTCAGTAATTGTAGAATTTAGGCAGAAATGTTCTATTTTTTTGCGTGACTTTGCATAGACTTGGATTGTGGAAACATAGTTAGGGCCGGTTTTAGGCTGATTTCTTTGATTTCATCAAATTGGGCCCGCTCTACTGGGGGTCTTTTTTCTGTATTATTAGATGTGCTACAAAAAATTAAAGTTTATCCGATTTGAACAAAAACTATACTAGTAGATAAATCTGAGTGAAATTAAAAAAACAATACCAATCTTGCAAAAAACGGTCAAGAAATAACGGAGATATCCGCATTTTAGTACCGCCCGTAAGGCCATTTTTCCTCCATAAGGTTAGCATTACGCTGACTCGAAAACTGAGACTGCGATAATGTCAGACAGCCAAATAACAAGTTGTGTCTCCACTATTTTTCAAGGTAATCGAATGAAATTTTGAACAAAAAGATGATGTGAATAGAAAAACCTAGTAAATAAAGTCAACAAGTTCTGAATAAATTAGCTTTTCGAATGAATTATGTACGATAAAATCTACGAGCAGTTCACATGAACGCTGATTGGAAACGGCCTTCCCTGCTATACAGGTCCAGATATACGTGACATACCCGATTTAGCGCTCCTAATATCCCGCCGTATTCATTGAACAATTTATTTACCATTTAATTAATATCCTCGATATAAATGTTTACCGCATTTGCGGAAAATACAATAAAGGCATCCACATTACCTTAAATTTATTTTATACCAAACATCTATAAATATTACTATAAAGAGTAGGGGCCCTGTCATCAAATTTCTAATTGGGCCCCACAGATCCTATCACCGGCCCTGAACATAGTAACGGACTCTTGGTCACCACTCTTCAGCAAAGATTTCAGTCATCCCTCTCAAGATTTGACCTCTTGAACATACAGGGGAAACCCTGGTAGCATGATATGTATCTGGGTAGCCAATAACCATGGCAGGATGAGTGTTTAGGGTAGCCATTACAATCTGTTAAAAAAAACGTCATATTTAATAAATCAGAGCATTTTGTGAAATTCTACACCAAATCCTGATTTGTATGTTTCCTTGTATTTCTAGAAATTTTTGATTATTTTTGCTTATTCTTTTTGAAAATTTCGTGCTGCATTAATGCTTTATTCTTTAATGTACTATTTTAGTTAACTGCAACAAACTCACTTTGAGCTTTTCCAGAACTTCAGTCCAATATATTTAATATGTGTATTGTTTTTATGTTGGCCAGATTTAGAAGTTAATATGTAGTTGGAATTTTTATAGTATGTCGACTTTCAATATTTGTGTCATGTTTTTCTCATGATTGACAACTGCTGTTCTCAATCTCGCTTCATTTGAATCGCCCTAATTATTTTTACTGTATATAGGTTTTCTTTGCAACTTTGTATATTTGCTTGATTTTTAAAATATAAAAAAAAAGCCTCAAAAACTCAAAAAAAAAATATTAAAAAATAAAAAGCGAAAAAAATACAAGTTTCTTACACATGAAATTTTACTCAGAAATTTATTTCCTTTTTGAGAAAATTTTACTCAGAAATTCAATTACTCTATGAGCATAGTTACAAATGACCAATGATGTGTCAAAACCTCACAAGACTATAAAGACTTCTAGTGTAGAATTACTCAATGCATAATTTTTTGTTTCATGCTTATGTATTGAAGTTTGTAGCATTATTACCGGTGCTCCAGAAATGTGTGTACCAATATGGGGGTAACTAATTTTATTTGCTTATTTTACTTACATCAAGTTGTGTAAAGGGGCTGAAACCTATGAGCAGGGGGGATGTTCACTTGGCCAATACAGACAGTCCCCGAACTCGTAATAGAAATAAAATAAGGAAAATTATAGCCTAACCTTCTTCGAGAGTACCTTATTTTCCGCATTTTTTTCATATTCAAATAGTTGACGGAATTGAAAAAATTTGTGTTTGAGAAATAATACCATCATTGAATTTTTATTGTTTTGTTATTCTTGACATGACTTTAAAAAGTTTTTATCACATCATTTTCTTAATCTAAGCAAAAATCATTGCATCATTTTTATATTAATTCATTGTTCGGTGCTCCCGAAGTATGCGAACCAAGATGGCGGACATCGGAACGTAACATGTGTAACAAGTTAGGGTTAGGCGATACTTTTTTTCCAATTTTCCTTATTTTAGTCCTATTATCAGTTCGAAGACTAGCCAAGAGCCTCCCCGTTGTATTTATACCTAAAATTATGGCCTAACCCTAACCTAGTACACATATTACATTCCAATGTCCGCCATCTTGGTTCGCTTGTTCAGTGCTCTGTATCAAATTTGCAGCATTATTTTCTGTATATTTGAGATCTTTATGAGTAGCATTACATCATAGGAAGTCCCAAGTTTATACCTTTCAGGGATTTCTGTGATTGCCTTCACTTATAAAAATCCTTTTTTTAAATTATGTTTGTTGTCTCACTGATTTTAATTGACCTTGAAATAAATATTACAACTGCTATTGTAAAAAAAAAGAAGGCAAGGGACATGTATTAACCTAATAGTAACTCTTTTTGAATAACCAATGTTCAAATTTTTTATGTGAAATGCATTCTACCTTTTCCTCGTATGTTTTTGTCAACTACTGATATCTACTAATTTTGTGTGTATTTTGAGAAATCCCGACATGTTAGCAAACCCACAACAAGTTATGAAAAAATGCTAAGCAGGTTTGGAATAAATAACTTTTAGAATTGGGTGATTGATTTTGAATCTTGCTTTATCTTGTGTTTCGGCATTTTGTTCCCAACCAAAGAAAATTGGTAGCTGAGAACTTTACCGAAATCCAGCGTCACTTTTCCTCTAATCTATATATAAGTGATACATGTAGCATATTACAATGATCTGTTTTGTAATGCTTATTGTATCATCTTTTGACATTTTTATCCACTGCAATCAGCTTTTCTTGTTTATCGTTATTGACAACACTGTACTGTTCCTGTATTAGAATAAAATAACAGTTGCATAAATAATTCAACTAATCCAACCCTACTGTATATAGCTTTTCCTTATAACTCCACATATTTTCCTAACTTTTAAAATAGAAAAAAAAAATGAAAAATAACAAAACTGGAATAAAATTTTTTTTTATGTATTCCCTGAATATCAAAATAGAAAATAAAATCAAAAAGGTTAACGGTCAAGTGATCCTTCATATTCCCAACCCTAAGAATTACATTTCTCTGGCGCTCGAGAGGTGTGCGTACTAATACGGAGGTAACCAATTTTGTTCGCCTACTTTACATCAATTTGTGTATAAGGACTGAAACCCATTGACAGGGTAATCAACTTGGCTAACACAGACAGTCCCTCGAACTCGTAATAAAACTAAAATACCGGTAAGGTAAATTGGATGACCTAACCCTAACCTGGTACACATACTACTAAGAAGCTTATGGAGTAATAGATTTTATTTTGAATCTTTCGCCAAAGAGAAAAACAATATAATATTCTCAACGCTTGCAGACTGGTCAAGTGGATATTATCTCTCATCTTTTCCTCTTTCGACTTTTGAGTATGACATTGTAGATATAATACCTGCTATAAATCTGCTTTCCCAATCAGTCTTATTGTTTTTCCTGTTTGAAACGAATAGAATGGTAACTCGTGATATCAATTCATTATTGAAATTGTCATTGATTCCTGTAAGTAATAAAGGTGTTGACTTTTGCTTTATATGCTATTTTGATTATTGTGAGAGTGGAATATTTATTTCTAATAACTTTATGATACAAAATTAAATTAGCAACATGAAGCCCAGTATACCATTTGGCCTGTATAATCTATTAGGTCCCTCCAGTCAAAAAATGTTTGTTTTGATTATATTTCAAATTCTGTGTGATCTTTTGTTTATTTGTAGTAACATCTGTATAATAAATGATCAGTGTGATAGACCGGGACTGAATTCAACTAGTAGGGTGGTTAATGGGATCGTCCATGGAACTACGACCATGCATCTCGAGAGTTTTACCGGTTGTCTATTTACATGGTCTGGTCTTTAGAAAGGAGCTATTAGAGTCATTTTCTTTTATTCACCCCTTTTAAATATATGTGAAAGACGAATCCCAAGTCTTGTTAGGCATCCAACTTCGCATTATTGACTAGTGAACCAGCACTTGAAATCAGTAATCATTAGTTTATTTTTCTAACATACATAAAATGAACCAATGCAGGGTTTCCCAAACTGGGGTCCGCTGACCCGTGGGGGTCCTTTGCATTTTTCGGTTGAGTGTTGTGGATGAATAGCCATTGCTGTTAGAGAACAAGGCAAATAAAACTTCATTGCTTTTTGCAACGACTATTTTTTCAGCTCTTACCAATATGATGACAAAATACAAGTCGAGACTTGCTGTAGAGTCCGACCTCCAGTTTGCTTGTCACAAATTGCCCTGAGAATTGATAAGTTGTGCAGTGAAAAGTAACTTCATTCATCACATTAATATCGTTTGTGTTGTAAATAAAATATTATCCTTCTTTGTTGTTTAGGCAAAGAAATTAATAGGACATAGGATGGGGTTCCACTAAAACTAGGGTTCACAAACAGGTGTTCATGGCCCAAAAAGTTTGGGAAGCGTTTTTGTTGTTAAGGCAAAGAAATTAATACAACATAGGATGGGGTTCCATGAAAACTGGGGTTCACAAACAGGTGTCCGCCGCCCAAAAAGTTTGGGCAGCGTTGCACTAATGAATACAGAATTTTAGAAGCGGCGGGACTGATATTTTGGGGTCACGGAAACCAGGACTGGTGATGGATGGAGCAGCGACAGGAATTAATAATAACATAAAATAAGCAAAAGGAATAAAAGTCGAGGCGACCCGAATTTCCAGAAGATGCCCTGGAATTGAATATTCTGTGAGGTGGAGGACAAAGTAGGAAAAAAATTAGACTTGATGGTTCAGCTAACCGTGGGCGACCACCCTACGGCCTAGGTGCCATTCAACAATTCTCAGATATGAGTTTGTGATTGTGACTAGTTCATAACTATTAGTCATCAATAGGACACAAGAACTAGACACCGCAGTTCTACACGCCGACCCGAAGAGCAAAAATTTTCGTGATATACACTAGGTGACAATAGAGAACATACGAGTCTATGACCTTTGAACGATTGACCTCTGACCGCAAGAACACTTTTCAGAATTTTAATTTGTATGATATTACTCGGGTATATACTTTTTATGCAGTACATTTAAAAACATGTACTACTGACCCTTAATTGGAATGTTAACTATCAAATTAACATGACTCGCAGATAACACACAAGCCGCTTGGTGGCAACAAGGAGGGTAGCCATGACGACTAAATTTCAATTTCCGGTCTGTAGGATACATTTTTAATTGGATGTTTTTACTTGTTGAGGCAGACCACGTTGCTGCGAATTTATTAAAACTTGATTCAGGAGGACTTGAAGCAGATTCTCGATATGATTCAAGTAAGTACTAAACGAATTTGACCTGCGGATTGCTGACTGAGCCAATAGGTTCGCGCTTCAGGTGTGTGATAACGAAAATAATATAATTGGCTATATCAAAAAATATCAGGTTATGATTCCGAATTGGAAATGGATTAATTTGGTGGAGGAAGCTGGAGAAAGTTGTGACCAGCAATTATGTGTCAATTTTATGTTAAAATTAATAATTCACTTGGCAGGCTCGTTTCGACTATTTTGACTTATTTTTGACCCTTTTAGTCAGAAGGTGCCGACTCATAATATATTTGCCTGTTAAGTTGCTTTTCATATGAAACACTTTCATTTATATTCCTTAATGATGGTGAAAGAAGTTGTAACTAACCAGAGATTACATGTCAATTTTATGTTAAAATTATAAATCAACTTTGAGCAGTCGTGTCTCGATTAATTTCATTCCGTCTAAAGTTACCGTACTCACTTTAATAATTCCCAATATTTAAAAGCTGTTTAATGTCAATCCAAATCAAAATTTTTCACTTGCAACTATCATGGCATTTCCTCAAAAAATTTCAGTTTTGACTGGAAGTTGAAATTTAATCATCATGGACAGCCCGTAGTTGACTTCTTGACTGTAGATTGTAGAAACTTGTATAAAATATTGAGTTGCTATAAGACAATTTGAACTCTTCAATGTCCTATCATATATCTTCTAACATAAGCTGTGCATTAACTCAGAAGGTGCTGACGCATAATATATTTGCCTGTTAAGTTGCTTTTCATACGTGACACTTTCATTTATTCAAGAATATTCTTAATTTACTCATACTGAAGCCAAAGCCAATCTTTTAATAAAAGCATTTTTTGCATTGAAAATTTCTCTTTATGTTTTTATTTTAAATCAAAATGGTATATTTGATCATTCATCCTTTAACAAGCTGTAGTGAATTGGTTTCTATAGTGATATTCATGGAATTATTCTTGAAGAAATGACTAATTTTGTCTATTTGATGCATATTTTCTGATTAATATTTTCCGTTTGCCTATTGATTACCAGTCAATTTTTTTTATCTTCTCAGCTAAAATTTTATTGTTTCAATGTACCTGGTTCATGCCTATAAATGCCCAACAACCCAAAATTTTATTTTGTCGCACAATTTGCCAGCTGTCAATCCACAGTTTTTAAAATATATTTTAGTCCTGCTAAAACAGTCTCTCAAAATGACCCCTTTTTATACATATTTAAACGTCTTTCCTGGATCGGATAGCGTTCTTACATGGTTAACGGTTTTTGACAAATAGAGCTGTAGATGTAGAAATATTGAAATGAACCTGGTTTGATACAGCTTGCCTGTAGTGTTTATGGTTCGATGGTCATGAATTGCAACTATTATTTGCATGAACAAACTTTTGAATATTGGCTGTCATGAGCATACTACGGCAGATGGGCCAAATTTGTCCTATTGGATGATTTAATCCGGCCTGCCTAATGCTGCCACCAATTTGGATGTTTCAGCTATAAAATACTCAAGAAATTTGAGATTGCAATTAAATCAAGTTTTGGTGCGAGGTTTATTTTTTTCCACTTTTGCAACACTGTAAACATTGTTCCTACAATGTAACTTTTACTTCACACTTATTTGGCCGCCAGTCAGGTGCCTTGCTCTTGGAGTTATACACCTGCTCTTAGAGTTTATACACTGATATGCAAAGGCCTTCCCACACAAATAATTACATCCCAAACCAGATCAAAAATCTTTAAACTATGCTCTGCATATTGTTTGTCTGTTTACTTTTTGTATTGTTTATGTCAGAGAACCAAAATAAATGATTGATGCTGGCATAGGCCCTAAATCTAAAAGATCCTAAAAACTGTACTGTAAGCCTTTTTTTGCTGAAAAACAATATCAACATTTTCACCCAATTTAAATCTTACACACCAAGAAACGAAAAAGTAGTACAAAATCCAAGTTTATTTTGAAAAATCCAACTGGCCACAATTTCACCAAACAAGCAACCTTATTGATTAATTCAAAAAAGGTGTTCAAATGATTCGACAAATTCAAACAGCACGAAGAAGATTTTTCAGGACGTTCATCAAATTTTAATAAAACACAAAAATTGAAGACCATCTGAGATATAAATTTCACTCATGTTGGGGAAATTCACACTAAATTCTAGCAACTAGGAAAACACTTCCCGATCCAGGTTGAAGATCACAGCCATGAGAAAACCCAAATCTTGACCACAAAAACTTTTGCAATTGTAAATCTTCAAAATGTTTAATCAAATTATTCGGCGCTCCCGAAGTCTGTGCACCAAGATGGCGCACAACCTCATAACCCTAACCGGGTACACATACTGTGTTCAGGTTGTGCTCCATCTTGGTACACATACTTCGGGAGCACCAACCATTCTGTTAAAATTTTTAACTAGTACAAATCAGGAACTCTAGTGGATCAAAAAAGGCCATTTATTACGCAGATGCAGACTAGCGGGTCAGCTAATTGAATATTCTAAGAATTTTGGATTTGAAATGATTATTTCAGGCACAAAGCTGTGAAGGTGCAGTTTATTGGCAAAGCAATGAATATAAACTTAGACTTTGGACTGCCTTGTACAAGACTACATATACCGTGGCTATTTCCGCTTCACTTCATTTTACATCAGAAAATTTTTTTTTATTGCCATCAAGACATGAAGAAGTGGTTTGCAGTAAATTAAAATATAATAGTTTTCCCCAGGACAGGAGTCTCAAAACCAGACAATACTATTTTTATTTGAAATAGGCAGGCATGATTATTATATTCATATCAATGCCTATTCACCAGAACGTCGACTAGGCCAGGGGACTAACAGTTCGGATTAAATATGAGAAATAAGCGACTTAGACAGGAATTTTTGACCGCCGCCATATTGTTTTTTTGTCCGTCCAAAGGACAAATTCATAACAAATTATTAAAATACAATTCTGACATGTGACTCTTTTCTTCCCAGTAATATGACACATGTTTCTTATTGTGTGTTAACACTCAGCAAACTGTCCGAGTGATAGAGTGTGTGTCTGGAGGTCCCATTACAATAAAACAGTCAAAGCTATATATTGTCCAAGTGTTCGAGATTCGATTAAAAAAAATATTCAATTTTAGATTCTGAAATCATCAGATATTGGAAAAATGGCCAGTCAATTATAATAATGTCCAATTGTATACAAAGACACTATTTCACACAAATTGTACGAAATCAGAATTTTCCTGAATAGAAAAATATTTGAAGATTTGTATCTTTAATTCTGTTTAGGTTAGCTAGGTTGCTGCCCAGCCTTCTAACTTGAACCAATCAAAATTGAGAAAATAAATCAGAAAATTTGCTTCAAAATCCCATTTTCAAAAAAATAAGACTATTTCCAGAAAATATTTCCAAATCTCTAGCTCCCATTTTGAAATCCAGCATTTACGATGTTTGTGATGTATCCATCGCTTCAGAATCTGCGTCTTTCTCCGGCGCTTTCTCATACGCTCTATCACTAGGTGTCACTACAACTCCATCCCACACAGACATCGCAGTCGTGATCGTTGTTTCTCCTTCCAGTCCGAAAATTGCTCAAAAACCTCCGTGAGCTAAAACTCTGAGCAGAGTCTGGGCAGTGTAACATACCTATTACAAATTAAATAATAATGAAATGAGAGCATGATGGGATGTATTCGACAATTGATAAAATATTTTATTTGAAAATAACCAACAGCCCACCTAATCCAGAAGATACTATTAAATTGGAGCAGACAATATTAAGCAGAACACGCTATAGCCATGATTGGTAGTGCCTCACAGCGGTGTAGCCAGGAAATAAAAAAACGGGAAGGGGCCAAGTTAGACCGTAGCCAGGGATGGCCAATTCGAATAAAGTATTCGAATATCTCGTCATTCGAATATCAGAATTCACGTTCATAAAAATATCGGATATTTGTGTGACGTCACACATTTTCGACGCCGCTTTCAAGACGTTTCCGTTGCATGAAAACATTCTCGTTAGAAACTTGCGCGTGATTGTTTTCATCACATATCAGCGTAACGTGTTATTTAGGCCCGTAAACGCCTTCACGATTGTGTTCTTTTCTCTAAAACGAAAATTTTCAACAAATTTGTTCCACGATAACGATAACATTTATTTTATTTTTGTACGCGCACGGAATTGTGAATCTGGTAAATACGTTCATCGGCGGCGAATTTCTAAAGACAACGCAACTTTCTGATTGAAAAGCGGCAATTTGAAATACTGAAAATAAAACCGTAAACAACATAAATTTTATTGAGGCCAGCGAAAATTTAAAAAACGCTTTTCTAGGCAGGGACTCTTTTAACAGATGGCATAATCGCGGCGATGAATATGTATTTTTAATTTACTGCTAAACTTTATATGTATATTCATTGTATGAAATGAATTATTCTCTACACTTTGTATAATCATTTGAGATTTTTCTAACGGCTATAACGAGTTGGCAAGATTGCAAAAATACATATTAAAATTAAATACATCAGGCAGTTTATCTCGTAATTTTAGGTCACAGATCGCCGTGGACCGAATAGTAATGTTTTTTTTTTGACGTAAGAGAAAGCAACCGCGAGTTATGTTGGACACATTAAATTAATATATAAAGATATTTTAGAATCTCGTAGTTGTCATGGATTGAATATTTCACGTAACAGAATGATGATTATACGCTGAAAAGACGGCTCTTTTAACGAGCGCGGAATCGCGGTGGGTGTTACAGGCGGCAATGGGAATTTCCGATTTCGAAAATCCTGGCTGCGCGCTGGCAGTGGTGGTCATCTATTCTCTACTAATTTATTTCTAACTCCAAACACAACAATATGTTACACATAATAACAATATGGTTTACATAAATTTATATACAAATATACTGGTAAGTAGTAGAATACTCTAGGCTTAAATATTAGAATTTTTAAAGGCATAATGGATTTTCGATTGTTATTGCCTGTATTGCCAATAAATTTTATTACTCTCAGAAAATATACACAATGAGTCAATGACAGAAAGCGTCAGACAACTCCTTGGCTATCTTTTCATATGGTCATTTGTACAAGTGAATAATTTTAATAAACTGACTGTGTCACAAGTTGCTATTATTTTTTATTGATAGCTATAAACTATCAATTACTTTGTGTACATTTACTGTTGGTCTGTGGCTTCATTCTGATATTTCTATTGAAGCTTATTTCCTAATTTACTGGGTTTTAATCAACTAAAACAAAAATGTGTTATTTTTGATTTTAGAATGTATTCGGAATTCCAGACTCTAAAACATTATTTTAGAATGTATTCGGAATAGTTTAGTATTCGGAAATGGCCATCCCTGACCGTAGCAACTAACGGGGCTTTCGAGGATCTTAAAAGCGAAATTGCTATGTATGATACAGAAAAATACATTTCAAAAGTGGGGGTTAGTTCTGGCCCTCAGAACCCTCCTTGGGTATATATATCATCGTCTGATCATCTAAGGCAGTGGTTCTCAACCTTTTTTTTCTTTCGTGGCCCACTTTTGTTACACAGAAAATACTGTGGCCCATTACCTTTCATATGCAAGAGAAAAACAAAAATTTTTTATTCCCAAAGATAGAGACCTCCACTCTAATAATTAAAATGAGAATTACCACTCGATAGAAAAAACAGCATCATCATTCATTGCTACTACAATCAAAGTTTACCCAATTTCTCAATAACTCTGGCCATTTTTATTAGGTTTGTGGCCTGTGGCCCACCGGTTGAAAACCAGTAATCTAAGGCCTTGTCTAGAGTAAAAACATGTGAAAATACATTTATTCACTGAACAGACACCCCTACCTGTTTTCCAAACCATACTCCCTTCCCCTAAAATAAAAAGCTGGGGAACACAATGATCGCACCGTAGATGGGATGGAGGTTACATGGTTTGACAGAAAATAACAAACCAGTGATGCCAACAGTCTTATTTCCTGAACAGTGTTTACTTAAATTAATTCAAATCTTTCATATAATGCTTATTCATGCCAGGGTGATTCCTTGTATATGGCTTGGAACATAGTGAAGGGTGTTGAAAAAAATATTATGAATTCTCCGACATATTGAAAAAGCGTGCTTACCATATCTTGTTGTTCCAAATTCATTACTATATGAACTCCGACATTTCCACTTTCACATGGGTCAACGATTCCTGCTGAACCAGGAAGGAAGAAACCAGAAGAGAGAAGTTGAAGACATCACCTGAAAAATGATTCCATTTATTTATTTATTGACAAGGTCATTTGAAAACAGGCAGGGTCAAAGTCATGCTGGGTTTTGAATTCATTCTTATTCGCATCAATTATTCTGCAAATGTGAATACTAACAACTGTCAAAAAGTCGTCAAAATTTCACACAAATTTATCGTCATCACCCAAAATTGTCCATGTAAAACAGAACTTCACAGAAATAACACTAATTTCAGACACATGAAAATAAATCTTACAAATTGGATAAATATCTTACAAATAGGATATAAAATTTTCATAAATCTCCAGAAATTCACAAATTGCATATTTCTCACTAACTTAACATAAAAATAAGATAATTTAGGATTAATAATTAATACGAGCATGAAATTCTGTGGCGGCAGGGAGTCCATCAATCATCTCGCACATAATTATACGAGCATGAAATTCTAACCCATGCAGGGTAGACAGAGGTGCGGTGGCGAGCGTATTCCAAATGCTTATCGCATTGCGTCACACCGCCGAGCAAGCCATTTATCGAGAATGTCACACATAAAATAGTAAGTAGCACACGAATGACACAAAAATGACAGAAATGGCATCAAGCAAATTTCCCATTAATAGTGAAAAGTAATACAATATTTCTTCTAAATTTAAATAAAAATACACACAAAATTTCTCACATATGGGAGAACTTCATACTGGAAGTACTAAAACCCACCCACAAATGATAAGGTGTCCATAAAGTCTTAAAATTGCAAAGGGAAATTATCGTTACTTCAATATATTGTTTTGGCCCTCACAGATGTATCAAATGAGGTAAAAGAACAATTACCGAATAAAAAAACAACAAAATTGGTTGAGATATATTGAGAAATGCCCTCATGACGAAATTGAAATTGTAAAGGGAATTTATAGTCACTCTGTATGTTTTCTTGAACTAACCTGAAAGCTGCATTGATAGGCAAAGGTTGCCTGCTTGGCGTATTCATGATCGCATGGTGAGCTAGCAAGTCTATTATCCACATTGTCAAAGGCTCAAGCCCCGCGAAATCTCGATCGGAGATCTTTCAGGAGATGAATCAACATCTTGATGCTGGAAAACGATTTTTTATTTATTAAAATTCTTCTCTGAACAAGACAAAGAGCAAGCAAATGTAATAATCTAGTTAAGGGTGGTTCTCAAACTTTTCAAGCCGCTACCTCTCTTAAGAATTTGTCAAGTCTCGCGCCCCACAAATTAACTAGCTAACAATAAGCTTTAAATACCAGATAGTAAGGGAAAAGTATGTTTTATTTAAAAATATGTTGAAAATCTGTGGATGAAATAAATTGATGAGTTATAAAAACAAGCAAAACAAATACTTTCATTTTTTATTAACTTCACACCCCCTCAAACAATTGTCTACACTCTTCTTGTGGGTTGCTTCTCACCGTTTTAGAACCACTGCTCAATAGCCATTAGTTAGGTTACTGTATTACTAGGTCATAACTCACTTGGCTTGAATGAAAAGCATCTTCCTCGAACCATCTGACATGACGAATAGCAGCGAGAGATGATTGCAGTATTTTGTGACTCATATGTGTTGAGGAATCCAGCTTTCTCATGTTTCCTGGAAGAATTGCAATCCCCACTGAGACTTTATCCTAAAAAAGGAAGTTACTCATCAGAATTTGGTAAAAGTGATACTGAACTTTTGTTTTCGCTATCTGATTCGTGAAGACTTATTTAGTGTTGACGGTTAGTTGTTGCTTACTAGTTTCATTGTCATGATTTCATTGTCTCTTCCTTGTTTTAGGCAAGTGGAAAATTACTGGTATCATTCCGATAACAAAGACAAATTGGGTTACATTTGATGATTTATAACAGGGGTGCGCAACCTTTTTTGCAAGCGGGCCAGAAATGAATAACTGGTAAAATCGCGGGCCGCACCTTCATATAACATTTGCTTGTTTATTAGTCGCAGGCAAAAAATAGTGTCTTTTCATTATTGATCTTATAGCATTGTTAGGGGGGTCCTTGCATAAATGATGAGTTAAAACGCATACATTTTTGAAAACTGTTATTCAAATTTATTGTCACACCGAATTTAAACGAATTCAGGGAGAAATTTGCTGCTGGATCCAAATTTGCTTTAATCAGTTAATAGAAGTGCTAGAAATTCGATATCCATTTTCCAAGTCTTCGTCTTTCAAGTGGTTTTATGACGCCCATTTTAGAATAAAATATGTTTGAGCCGAAAAGTGCCATATTTAGCCATGAATTTTTTCAAATGTCGAAAGTTATCTTGGTTGAGATCTTTTCGGTGAAAATCGCCAGGGTTCATTTCCGAATAATTTGCTATCAAATCTGATTTTAGATTAGATTTAGAAAAAATCAATTGATAGGCTGGAAAACTTATTCAGGTTTTGTATCTCTTAATAATAGTAAATTTTTTTAAACTGCTTTCCAATTGCCTAATCTTCAATTGCCCGTTCTTACTAATTCATTAGCGAATGTTCCGCAATTGACAAGCAAGTGACAGCTCTGTGAATCGCGTTATTTGCTTCGCTGTTTAGGACATTGTAACGTCATAGGCATATATAACAAATTGGACTCGGATATAAGCTTTGCAACGCAAAGGGAACCAGATTGAACTAAATAAAAAAACTTGTTTCGGTGGCCGCACACCATTCAAAACTGGCACTTTTCTGCGGGCCGCATTTTGCCCGCGGGCCGCTTTGCACACTCCTGATTTATAATGTTACAAATTGAAAATTTGTTACAATATCACACACTTTCATCCAAAATAGAAGGAAACTCATCGTAAAGAAAAGTTGGGAGCATTTGCTGATATGCAAGTAGTTACTGGAATTACACGAAATCATTATGACATTGTGCGACAATAACTTCCAGCTTTCTCATGTTTCCTGGACAAATTGCAATCCATACTGAGAATTTATCCTTTAGACTTGAAAATAAAAGAGCTACTTGTAAGAATTTGATCGAAGCGATATCACACACGCCAACCCTAAATAGAAGGGGGACTCGTCTCGAAGAGAAATTTAAGGCAAACACTGAAATGCTACCAGTTACTACAAACAGGGGTGAGGAGGGGGAATACACTTTTTAACTTTTACGGACTTTTTGAAAACTCATGTTGACCCTTTGATGACCTATAATTGCAGCAAATTTGAGAAAATATGTCACTAAATAATTTCACCAGAGTAAAAGTTTTGTCAGTGAAAAAAACGGGGGTGTGCAACCTTTAATACAGGATGGCCAGATACAAATAACTACGGGTGCACCTATATTTAAAAGGCTCACTAGTACTCGCAGGCACAAAACTACTGGTTATTGATCTTATGACATGCATTGTTCGCTTCGCACAAGTTAATTGTTAGGACATTGTAACGTCATAGGCATGGCAACGCTACTCGCACTTAGCAGATTAAACTAAATTTCAAACTAGTTTCACAGGCATATCATTCAAATTTCGCACTTTTTCACAAGCCATATGGAAGAAAAAACAGAAGCATTTTATGATAAAAAAATATTTATATATTAAAACTGAAGACGAATGAAACGAGTTATTTGATTTAATAAAACAAACAGCCCACGAGTTTCAGACACGAGGGGTGTATGGCACGACGGCAGATGCGTCTTATCGCACCCTGCTCGTCTCGATAACAATCTAAATCGGGGCATTTAGATTAGTGCAACCTAATTAGACTATATTTTTTTACCGATATTGATGAAAAACGATCTCCTGACATCCTCGAAAAGAGGGTGTTTGCTCATCAACAGAATGAAATTCTCTAAAACGAGACAATGACTCTCGATCTGTAAAGTGTGCCGTACTGACCTGGGTAAAAGCTTCGTCGTCAGGTGCTGGCTTCACTCTTGGGAAAGCTTGTTCACACATCACAAAATCAAATGGAATGTGAGGCACAAACACTCTGTTTGTTCCACGATGCATTCCACCCCGTCCACGTCCTCCTCGACCTCTCATTTTGATGTTTTGTCGAGTTAATTTAGAAAATTTTATATTCAAATTCCTAGACTTTTCAGATTTGAAATCATAGAATTGAGAAAAAAATCATGAAATTGTATGACCGGGACTGGTACCGGTAGATAGATAATGATTTATCGAAGCTAATGTATTGGACTCAAATACAGGAATACCAGAATACCGTAAACTATACACAAATTCAATAGGGTAGAATTCTTGAAAGCTACCGGTACTCTGGTAGGCTACTGTTAGCAAAACCCCTAGCCTATCTCATTCAAGAGTGAGAAATTAATTTTTCAATAGACGCCTAATTACGCCTTTAGTTCACGTAATATTCTACATGAGCGGCCACTAACTTTAGCAACAAGCGCGGAGCAAACGAGAAATCGAGACTACGGGAAGTCATCCAGTAAAAAAATTAATAAATGTACAGAAATTATGGCAACAGGTTTTTTTATTCATTTACTAATATAATTTTGGAATAGAATTATTGCTTCGGCTATTTTTTTGCAGTATATATATTACATAACATCAAGATTTTACATAGAAAACGTTTCGTGATATTTTTCAAATGTGGCAACTTAATGATGAAGTTGATCACGTGTGCCAGTAGCTTATCGACAGTCATACTATTGATACCTTAAATCAGGGGTCGGCAACCTACGGCCCACGGGCCGCATCCGGCCCGCGGAGCAATATAATCTGGCCCGCGACGCTTCACTGAATTATAGTAACAAATTATAGCTGTTTTGTCGATTATATTCTTTACGCAAAAGAATTTACGTGTAGACTAAATTATATTATAATCTAACAAGTATAAAATTCACAATTACTCGTTTAATGAGCCTATAATTTAAATATAATTTAGACAAATGGCAACAAAACGCAGAAAAGTTGATGCTAAGTGCAAATGATTTAATGGCGCAAAAAATATTCAAATGGTCGCGCTGCTTAAAATTTAACTTCTGATCTGTGTGATAAAATGTGATTCATCGGTCATTCATTCGATTTTTAACTTTCTAAAAATATGTGCGGCCCGCCAATGACTTGCAACCTTTAATTTTGGCCCGCGAACGACAAAAGGTTGCCGACCCCTGCCTTAAATGAATCAAAATTACCACTGTCTTACCATTGCTATGCTGCAGATACGCTTGTCTGATCTTCTGTTCCGACGCATTTCTTGTAGGCGAATGCGTGGGAATTAATGAGTGAAGAGACAACCATACTTTGTAAAAATCTAATGTTTTGGAGCACGATACGTTGGATATTTGGTAGTAATAGAACGTTTGTAACTTCAGCTCAATGATTTAGCTCAGTGTTATTCAACCTTTTTTACCTTGGTATACCTTGACAATTTTTTAGGAACTTTGTATACCTCACAAATACCAATGTTCATTCAATACCTAAATAAACATTAAATTTTAAGCACAGATTGTACTGCAATATCATCATGCAATCTAGAAGGGTAGTGTCCGCAAGTTATAAACGTTGTAATTCGACTGCCTTGCCTTAGCGTGAACGGGAATATTGCTTAATGCAAATCAAGCAACATGCACGACAGCTAAAATCACCAACCCAGACACGTGCCCACATTATCTATATAATTTGTGACGTAACAATGTGCTTGAGTCGGTTATTTGCGTAAATATCATTTTATATTTTATGTGCACCTCGTTCGCATTGTTGTCTCCACTTGAATATTTTATAAATTATTATATTACAGTTTAGAATCCCTGACTTAGGCTGTATACTGTTCGTATATCCTTTATCAGTTGTATACCCAACTTATGGTCCGGTATACACTTGGGTATACTGTATACCTGATTGAAGAGCACTGATTTAGCTAATGAGGATCTCGATAAAAATAGGTGATCGTAAAAATCGATTGATTCCTGGAGGATGCATTCCCCTATAATTTCCGTGTATGAAGGCTTGCGGAATACTTATCTTAAAGGTGGGTTATCAGTCTAGGGCTGGGCGTTTCGAAACACTGATATGTCGAAACGGCACTGTTTCGACTTCCGAAACGGATATTATGACGTCATAGCAAATGCAACCAGAAATCAGTCAAGGTATTATTCAGCGATGTCCAATTCGGAATTATTATCCGAATTCATTCGAATATTGCGACTCTCAAATATCGTTTTTAGTGTTTATAAGAATATTGAATATCGCACACAAGTCCTAGCTCCGCCGTCCGCGGTTTCATTGAAAACATATCACAATTATTTCATTTTTTATGTTTTATCGTAATCGGAGACACTCTTTGCGACACGCAATAAATGACTGCCGACATGAAATGATTCAAGTCCTCGCCGACTTGCAGTATAACACATCGGGGAAGTTTTTGATTGAAAATATTTTACAATTATTATCGTATATTTCCACATTGTCGAGATAGTCTGTGTTAGGCCGCGAGCCGAGGCCCTGAAAAGCGCCTAGAAAGTGAGTTTCGTAGCGCACATCAGGTAACTACCTGAAAATGATTTTAAAATGTTCCTTAAAAATTTAGTAACAAATATTGCCTTGTTCCCACTTCCAAAAGTTGCACGTTTTACGGAAAAGAAGCTTTTACTACAAGAAATATGTGCGACGATCTGTCCTATATTCTCTACATTTTCGGCAAGGAACAATGACTTCTGCATGACGTAACAATTGAATTATAAACCAGCTGTTAGCGAGCGGATGAATATTAGTTATTACTGCTCGACCTTGCGCTGAGTTGGGCAGCCTTTCCATAGCCCTGTTTAGTTATTATTAGTTAAGTTATGCTAAGACGTTGTTGAAAAATGTATAAGTAAGTTACTAAACACTTGTAGATCCTTACTACGGATATGGGCCGTGAGACGAAACCATGAAAACGCCCAGAAAATGAGTTTCATAGCGCACATCTGGTAACTAAATAAATTCTTCAGTTTTGTGTGAAAACGAACATAATGAACGCATTACAGCTTGTTCCACAATCCTGGTGCAAAATTGAATATAAGAGGTTCCCGGAAATTCAATAACCATAAGTTTACAACACATACATAAGAACTATACAATTCGAGAGCCCTACAGCACACTAACACAAATGTATTCCTGTAATGTTTTGCCTGACCAAAATCGGACTTCCTCAGTCAATCATAATTTATTAGGTAGATTACGAAAAATATGGCATACATGTAACCAACAACAAAAAATACTTTAATTGTGTGACAGGAGTCGGGAGTGACCCCGAAAGCAGCGACACCAACAACGCTGATTCACATTTGCGAATAAATTTTATGTAATAACCACAAGCAGTTTACAACAAGAACAGCATAAAAAGCTACATCCATTTTATAGAAGCTATCAAACCTATTTATTTTTAAGCAATGAAGTCACAAATTAACATCGTGAGCACGAAAACACAAATAAATCAGTTATTTCTCACTTAGAAATTTACCGCAAAAGTCAAGAAAATTAAATGAATGTACAATATGTACATAACATAGTGAACAGAAATATTACAATTCACAATTAATCTTTTTTAGTTTATGTGGTTATGTATTTGAAAAGGCAATAATATTTCTAGAAACAGGACTACGACACTAACAAATGTCCGAAAAAACAAAACAAATGTATGATACTTATTAAATCAACTGTAATATCTAATTCACTTTCTTCTGAATTGTTTTCGAAATCCACTATCTCAAAAATCGTCTTTTCCTCTATAGGTGTACTGTGATTTCTGCAGTCAATACAAAAACAAAAATCTGTGCAATTTAAGTTGATTTTGGCACACTTTCATAAATTATTTTGACTATTTTTCTTTGCAGTTTGCCAACTCAAGAACTGATTTGAGGGCCACATGCTTCTTCAGTGAATCATTGTTGGGTGGAGAGTATAATCCTTATGTTTGATAGTGTTAAATAGACGTGCCCTGGTATCATTTACATTCTTCATATCCTCTTCAAATTCCTCAGCTTTATTTATTAATGCCTCGTTAACCTCAAAAGATCTTCTTAGTCGAGGGAAAAAAATGAATTGAAAATCTCAATGAAGTCTCCAACATGAATTTGATGGGCAGTTCCAATTGCAGAAAAGTGCTAAAGTATTTCAATATGAATAGCCCATCTAAGCTGTTTGCAACTATTATGATTCTCATATACCTTTAAGCTTCAAGACTTCTTGTTTAATCCATTTTATAGCACTGATAGCAGCAGGGATCAGAGCCTGCGTTAGGTCGGATTGATGGAACATTGCCGTTTTCTTTTGTAGTACAGTATCTAAAATAAGGAAGAAAATAATATTTGGAGCAGCATGATTTTAAAAATACCCCTAAATACTAACTAATACCTTGAATACATAATGCATTTTTTATCTGATGTACTAAATGAGCGTATATATGCTCATTGCATGTACTACAGTCCAGCAGTGTTTGCATACCATTACTAGACTATATCTACACTAAATTTTGATATATCACAGTCTGAAATATCCTATGACAGTATGAGTATGGACTATAGACTATATTTTGAAACATCAACTGTTTGTCTACAACTTGATTTCTCACCTCTCAATCGTTTCCAATGCTACCTTTCTTTCCACTCCGGCATAACTTATCATTGCTTCCCAGGTTCTTGTCGACTCTATGGATTTAGATTTAGACCAACCGACATTAGTAAAATTGATTAATTTCTTCTCTTTCACACAACCGTGCATTACAGAAACAGCCATTCATTTCTATTTCCAAATATGCTGTGGCCTATATAGTAGTATAAGTCTGCTGAATAGTCAAGACGAGTCATTAAATTAATCATAAACATTTCATGCAAGCCAGAAAATATCGTTGTTTGTGACATATTATTCTAGGTCTAGCCTTCCTTGGAGTTACCGCACCGTACCTATTTAACAACGTCTTATGAGCTAGTGCTCAACTAAAATTGCTATTTATGGTAAGGATATACAAGTGTTTAATATCTTACCTATACTTTTCAACACCTCCTTAGAATAACTGAACTAATATTACCGGGAACTGAAAAAAAACTATGGAAAGGCTACTCAACGCAAAAGCGAGCAGTTGTAGTACATCTGATATTCATCCGACCACTGGGGATCCACCTACAGCTGACTAACTTGACTGTTACGTCGTGCAGAAGTCTGCGTTCATTGGCCCATGATACAGGAAAAGCAGAGAAAATAGGACGGATGGTAACACATATTTATTGTAGTAAAAGCGTCTTTTCTGTAAAACGTGCAACTTTTGGAAGTGGGAACAAGGCAATATTTGTTACTAAATTTCTAAGGAACACTTTAATATCATTTTCAGGTAGTTACCCGATGTGCGCTACGAAACTGAAAGATAAATGGCCTCGGCTCGCGGCCTATGTTAGCGCGGCAATAAATATAAAATAAAATTTAGGGCCCATTCACATCTGTTCACACTAGAGATGTACCGATACCACTTTTGTCGCCGATACCGATACCGATACCAACTAAAAACGCCGATACCGATACGCCGATATTCCGATACTATGAAAATATTACCTCATGTGTGCAGGGCAGTCGGGTTAAAACACTAGTCGTTGAGCATTATTCATACCACACATTATTTCAGATTGAAAAAGGGTTATAATACATCATAGGAAATTGGTGTTTGAGATTCAGAT